CCCCAAAACCCCAAAACCCCAAAACCCCATTTTCTTTCAAAATTATTGAAAAATTAATGAACGCCATAAAACGGTCCTTCAGCAAACTCCAAAAACCCACGAACAAATCCGTGCCTCAAGGCTACAAACTACTAACAGAAGGAAGCGCCCAGGTCCTATATTACCACAATAAAGACAATATGCACAACTCCCAGTGGGACATGAAGGTGCCGACCAATCTAATAACCAATCATAAAAAGCTGAAGAAGCTGACGAGGAAGGAGAAGAATGAAGCCAGAGATACTGTGTTTTACAACCCTGCACAGGAGTTTAACAGAGATTTATCCATAATGTGCATTAGCGAATATGGCAAACAGCTTCAAGAAGTAAACCCCCTTTTGGATTATTGTTTAGAGAAGAGAGCTCAAAGATTGATGGAAAGGACTCAAAATCCTTGAAGCATTGGCTGCCACTGGACTAAGGTCTTGAAGATATATGAAGGAAATAAGTGTAGATGTATGGAAGATATTGTCTAATGATTGGGATCCAACAGCAGCAGAGTTAATCAAGAAAAATTTTGAGTATAATGATATTGATAAAAATAAGACTGAAATTACAGCAATAGATGCTATAGATTTGATGTATGAAAGAAGAAAACTTAAGGACTTATACGATGTGATTGACCTTGACCCTTACGGAACAGCCTTACCATTCTTAGACTCTTCGATTCAAGCAATGAAAGATGGAGGGCTCTTATGAGCAACATTCACAGATACAGCAGTTTTATGAACTTCAAAGCCTCATATTTGATATTACAAATATGACTCAGTTACAACTCATCAGGAGCATTGCCACGAATTTGCTTTAAGAATGGTTCTCCATACGATTGCTACTATAGCTAACAGATACCAGAAGCAAATATTCCCTATGCTTTCCCTCACAGCTGATTTTTATATTAGACTTTTCGTAAGAGTCGGAAGCGAGGATGAATCTGTTCTCCATTGCCATGATAGCGTGGTTAACACTTCCTATGTCTTCCAATGCACTCAGTGCCAGAATTTTCATCTTCACAAAATTGGGCGAAGTAGAGGGGCGAACACTAAGCACAAGAAAAACATCACAAGCGAAGAGCAATCTCAGAGAGACCGCCACCACGATACTAAATTCTCCCTCAATCCACTGACTATCCCATCAAAATGAGAGGTCTGAGATTCTTCAATGGTGATAGGCGGGCCGATCTGGACTGGAGAAATCCATGATTCTGAATTCATAGAATTCCTTCTGAAAAGAAGTGATGATTGGAAACATCTTGCAACATATGAAAGAATTAAAAAGACCATTAAAGGTATCCAGAAAGAAATGGAAATTGGAAACTACCCCTTGAGCATGAACTATAACCAAATATGTTCCAGAATAAGAGCTTCATCTATTGCAAAATAAGCACATATATGCAGCTTTTTACAGTCTAGGCTACAATATCGTGCAGACATACTACAACCCATATTTGTACAAAACAGATGCCCCTCACAAAACAGTGTATGACATCTTCAAAGCTTGGAAGGTAAAATCTCTTGAGGGCACAAAAAGAAGTCTCCTTGACAACTGCTCTAATATCGCCAAGGTTATACTGAATAAACCTTTAGAAATCAATCCTGATTTTGAGTACAATTTGTCACAAATAGAAGCCGATCTAAAAAAGAACAGGGTTAGATATTCTCGTAATCCTCCGGGATGGGGTCCTGGCACTAGGGCTACTAGTCATCCTAGGAGTCAGAACCATCAAAGTGGAGTCAATGAAGTTAAATAGTGGGAGGGAAGAAACCAGATGATGCAGTGTTTTCAATCAAAATTAAAATTAAAGGGGTTTTGGGGTTTTGGGGTTTTGGGGTTTTGGGG